ACAGTCCAAAGATGTGCAGGCAAGGTGGATTGGTCATACTAAATTGCCCCTAGTGTTCAGGGATACGTAGCTTAGGTGGGTTATAGGTGGATGGGTCTGGGTGGGATGCTCTGAGGGTCGGTGTGGACTTGTTGGGCCAAAGGGCCTGTTTCCACACTATAGAGATTCTATGACTCCAATGTATAATTCAGTAATTTACGTTCTTGATATTGGTATCAACTCACAAGCATACAACCAAACAATTTATGTTTATAGGGACTCTTTGATGGAATAAAAATGTCCTAAGCACTTCACGGAATAATTATAAAACAAAGTATGATACAAAGCCATGATTAGACTTGATAAGAAAAAAAATTGGTTGAACATTGAAGTTTTAAAAGTGTGCTTTAAAGGAAGAAAGTAAGGTAGAGTGGTGGAAAGGCATAGAAATGGTAATTTAAGGTTCAGGCATTTAAAGAAGAGGCCACCAGTTGGTTAAGCAATTAAAATCAGGAATGATCAAGAAACCAGTTTTAGAGGACCACTGATTTCATAGGGGTGAGTGTGACTGTATGAGATTACAGAGATAGCAGGAGGCCATGGGGAGGTTTGAGGTGATGACGAAAACTTTAAGGATCTGTTTCCAATGAGTTCACTGGCCTTTTAGCCTCCCTAAATCTCTCTCTTGAAGTCAATGCAATACATATTCATGGATTGCCCCTGATGCTGTTATCTAATGTGGTCTTGTTAGTCTCATCATTTCAATTACAGACAAGGCCATCTCTGATCATTTCATTATAACATTCGTTACCCTTCTACTCAAAAAAAGTCAACACTGGACCCTATCAAACTAGCAAACTGACACTATCTTCAACTTTCCTCTCCAAAGTTGTTAAACATGCTGTCACCTCCCAAATTCACATATATCCTTCTGTGACCCTATGTTTAAATTCCTCCAATCAGATTTCTGCCTGTGCCATATACTAAACTTTTGTCACAGATAGCATTCTGAGACTATGCTAAAGCTTCCCTCTTGATCCTGTCTACAGTCTTTGACACGGTTGACCAAATGATCTCCAGGTGGGACTGCACTCACTTGGTTTCATTTTCATCTAATGAGAGTAAGACCTGTACTGTCTATCAAGGATCTTCTAACATGCTCTCTTTCAGTGACATCATTCAAAATCATTTTAAGTACATGGTCAACATTCAGCTCGGCACCATTACTGGCTCTGGAGTCCTCCAATGTTGACAAATCATCAGATTGGTTATCAATATCCTGTACTGGACGACTAGAAATTTCTCCTGTTAGCTAATGGAAAGACTGAAGTCACAGCTTATAGTCCACACTCCATTTTCCATTCCTTAGTTACTGACTCCAATATCTGATAGAAACAGAGAATATAGGAGCAGGAATAAGTAATTTGCCATTCAAGCCTGCTCCACCACTCAACATGATTGATCATGGCTGATCATTCAACTTAGTACTCTGTACTCATTTAATCCAACAAACTATATCTACAATTGCAACAAGGCATCCCTGCTCCTGTACTCAAATCCTCTCAGTAGTTTGACTGATATAAAAACTAACCGGACTATAATTCATTGCTATCTCTCTGCCTCACTTCTTAAATAAAGGAGTTACATTTGCTACCCTCAAATCCATAGGAACCTATCTAGAGTCTATAGAATTTTGGATAATGATCACCAGCGCATGTGTTAGTTCTAGGACCCATAAGTAGTCTGGGATGAAGCTCATCAAGCCCTGGAGATTTTTCTGCCTTCACTGCCATTAGTTTCTGCAATAAATTGCAATTCACAGAAGAAGCTACATGTCTGCTTTTGCTACAGAAGTGGATAACCTCACATTTATCCACATCATATTGCATCTTCCATGTATTTGCCCAGTTAACTTGTTCAAATCACACAATCTTCACTGCATTCTCCACACAGCATACCCTCCCACCCAGCTTTGTGTTATCTACAAATTTGGAGATATTACATTCAGTTCCCTCATCTAAATTGTTAATATACATTGTGAATAGCTGGGGCCCAAACACCGACCCCTGTGGTACCCTGCCACTTGGTAAAAGACCCATTCATTCTTACTGTTTCCTGTCAGCCCACTTGTTCTGAATCCATTTCAGTACACTACCTCCAATATGAAAATCTTCTCAAATTCCAAGTAAACCACATTCACTGTCCCTACTACATCCACTCCATGAATTATATCCCCAAATCATTTTAGCAGGTTTGTCAATCATGGCTTCCCTTTCGTAAATCCATGCTGATTCTGTCCTACCTTGTCACTATCTTCTCAATGTTCTGCTATTACATCTTTTATAAAAGACTCTAGCATTTTCAAACTAACCCATCCATAATTTGTTGTTTTCTCTCTGCCTTCCTTTCTAAATAATGGAGCTATATTAGCTACCCTCCAATCCGTAGGAACTGATCCAGAGTCTATAGAATTGAGTAGTCTGGGATGAAGCTCATAGGCCTGGGAATTTATCTGCCTTTAATACCATTAGCTTCCCCGACCCATTTCCCAATTAATTTCTTTACTACCTGACAGAGAGATTAAGCCAGTCTTTCACAACCTTGGTGTCACATTTGACCCTGTGATGCACTGCCGACCCCCCCCATCTACATCATCACTAAGATCACCTATTTCCACTAACTTAACATCTGACTTCGCATCTATTGCGGCTCATCTGCTGTTGATACTCTATTCCTATCTTTGCTACTTCCAGACTCTAAGCTCCTGAACTGTCTCCCAAGTTATACCATCCATAAACATGAGGTGAGCTAAAAATCTGTCCCTGCACACAATTCTTGTTCTGCTATCATCCGTATGCCCACTGATCTGAACAGGCCATCACATACACAACAGGCCTTAAATATAAAAAAGACATTCTCTGATTAGTTTGTTTTTTTAAAGAGCTTGCATTTTCTGTACATACTTCATGACAACAGCAGGTCTCAAAATGTCTTATAGACTAGTATTACTTTTGAAATATCAATTGTACTAATGTAGAAAACATAGCAGATAATTTGCATGGAACATGATCCAACAAACAACAAAATAAGCAGATTTTTTTTTGTAATGTTGATCGCAAGATAAATAGGATACCAAGTTAACCCCCATTCTCTTCTTCAAAATCGAACCCTGGGATCTTTAACATCCATGAGAAAGGTAAGGCAAGCCTCAATTTAACACTGCACCTGAAATATGGCATCTCTGACAGCACAACGCTCCCTCAGTACTGCACAGCACTGACAGCTTTGTTGCACTCAAGTTGTCAAGCATTACTGAAATGCACAAGTTTGAATTCAGATAGAGAGGGTGTCCAACTGAGCCACAGTCCACACAACTTTGAGAAGTTGTGATTTCTTGTTCAAAACAGAGTCATGAATATTTTCACACATAGGAGACAACTTCATCTAAAAAGTTGCATGATTTTTCACATCAGCATTTGTGAAAACACCATGCCACTTTATGCACAAATACTGTCAATTAAAGACTTACCAGAATGAATAAAGTCCCCTTCTCGATAGTTAAAGAACAAAGAGTGCCCTCAACATTTGTTACAGTTCTCGTGGAAACAGAAATATTCAACAAATGAAGAACTTTAGTACATATCACACACTTTAGATGCAGACAGAAATGAGCAACTGTTACGCTTTCAGATTTGCCATTCTGATTGTGTGCATAGTGAAGAAACAGCAGAATCAATTTTGCAACACCTCTACAACCCAACAACACTTGACAGACAGCACAGTGCAATGTGTCAAACAAGAAATGTTAATTATCTCACCCATTAGTCTACTTCATCCAATGACCAGCCTGGTTGAATGACAACAGTACAGGGAAATATTAAATAATTACAGACTACAGTAAATAAGTCAACAGTTCTCTGGCATTTTGCTGATATTTCCAAACATTAAAAGCAACTTGTTGGAAGACCACTCTAATAAACTACGAAGCTTAAGTTCCCCCTCCACTACAAAAGCTTAAAAGAATTATCTCAGATTCTAGTCCCACGTAATTATGGAGAAGGGTGAGAACAGCTTGTGCTTAACTTCAAAAGAATACTATCACTTTAAACTAAAACATGTCTGTCAAATTCGGGGAGCCAACTGCAAAACCAGTCAAAGACTAAGTAGAAAATGCTTAGTCGGGAATTAAAAGATGACATTTGATTTGGGTCCCTTCTATAAATCTTTCATGAGTCAAAGGTCTCACCACAACATTACGTTTTTTTGGACGCCGGACAACTTGTTATATATTTCCACTTTATTTCGAATCGCTAGCATGATGCTTCCTTTTTTATACCAAAAGTAAGACTTTTCCGAATATCAGACTTTGCGGGGTTTGCAAAAATTCCGGTTTGACAAAGCCTGTCATGACATTTTCTTCTTACTTGATAAATCCTACTTAAGTTAGTTATATATTTGGCTTTTTCACTTGGTTCTCGAGTAAAAGCCTTTTTTAAACAATCCAAAAACGAAAACGAGAAGAAGTCATAGAAGAAACAAGTGACGAAAAATACATTTGGTTTAAGAAAAAGTTGGTCGAGGAGTCGATGTTTCACCAGACTCCAGACACTGATCGTAGGTGTGGCTGGAAACTAAAGAATTCAACTAACAAGGATTTACAAACTCTGCAAAGTGCAGCCAAACTCCGGCTTGCAAGCTGAGGGAGAAAACGCGGATCTCTTCTAAACACGAAAATAAACTCCATAGAAGTCCTGGCTGGGGTGGTGGAAGGAAAAAGATCCAGAGAATCACGGCCTTTTCCCAGCCTGGAGCCTGAATTCAACAACCCAACCCAACCCTTCCTTCCCGTCTTCCAAACTAAAGTATAACCGGAGCGGTCCGGGGTAAACAATGATCTCGGGAGGAGGAATCCACAAACAAGTTTAAATATAATACCAGTATCAGTGGGGATCACTCTGGATACGGAGCTTGTTGGAGGGCAGGGAAGGGGGAAGTTTCCCCAATGGCCCTGGCTCACTCACCACTGATGGCGGTGGATTTTTTTCCCCCACTGGAATAATCAACCCTTCTCCCGGTTTCCCGACTCTTCCCCCTTCAGCGGCGGAGCGGCTCCATCGACAGAGTGTTCAGATCCGGGATAATCTTTTAATGCGCCCGAGCCCGGGGGCGCGGGTGACGATGAAAGAGGAGTGGACGCCTATTTCCGATACCACAAGATCTGACGATCGGCCTGTCCTGCCTCTGATCGATACCGAAGTGAGCGACCGCATCAACCAGAAAGGGGAGGGGGAGACAGAGCATGCGTGAGCGCGCGGCCGGCAAGCAAACCAAAATCGGAGGAAAGTGCGCATGCACGGCCGGCCGCCTGCGCCGGCAATGGGAATGGTGCGCGTGCGTACTCCGTCCGGCCGGCCAGCGAGCCTCCGAGACTGGGCAGTGTGGGGGGTGGGGATGGCTGGGGCTGGGGCTGGGGTTGTAGTTGTAGGGAGCGGGCGCGTGAGCCAACGGCCGGCAGACGGCGACCCAGAGCCAGCACGACGCCCCAGGCGGGTAAGGCATTTCCTCTTGACCAGCCCAGTCACAATCTTTGCACAGTGAACTGCTCAGATTTAATCTGTGCCTAATTCAACTTGCCTCTCCGCAGTTTAAAGGAGCTTTCCATTTGGGGTTAAAAATATATTTCAGCGAGGGCATATTTATCAGAATGGTGCTGGGGATGAGGGACTTGAGCTGGTTGGAGAAATTGAAGAATTATAAAGGCGATGGGATTTGGCAGACTGTCAAAAAGTATTTTGGCAGAAGGACTCTTATGGTGCGGAGATAGTGTCCCTACCTCTGAGCCAGGAGACCTGGGATAAAGTCCCACCTGCTCTAAAGGTACATCATAACATCTTTGAACAGGCTGATTAGGAAAATACCACCACTTTCCAATAAGCACCAAGATGTAGTTTGGATGGTGGTGAGCAGGGCCCGTCAGATCCTTCGTGCATATTCGGTCTCTGTGCACAGTTGCACGTTGCCCTCAAGATGGGTGCAGTGTTGAAGAAATTGTTACACATCTCCATGTGGAATGTGCCTTTGCATTGTAGGTCTGGACAGCAATGCAGTGGTTTTTGACAAAGTTTGTCCCTGTGCCTGTAGGACCATCAACTCAGTGAAAGTCACCCTTTGGTATGTCTGAAACTTGTTGCCTTTCAACGTAAGGAGTTGACCTCGACCAAGTGTTGTGAACTAGTGCATTCCAAGGTCCAAAACTAGGTGCTGAGGGATGCACTAAAGCTTGGGGAAGCTGCGTCCCAAACAGCAATAGGGAAAGACCATTATGTAGGATTTTTCTGTCAAAGTATAACAAGGGTCCATTCAGTTGTCAGACCCCGTCAGTGCCTCAAAATGAACATAGTTTCCTGAAAATGTAGAAAATGCTTTTTTGCAACTACAGAGAAACTCTGAGAAATTCAAAATTCCAATGTTTTGGTATTACAATGTTTTACTTTTTTGACTATGCTGAAGTGATTAGAAACGTTGTATGTACTTTTGGATGAGTTTTATAAATAAAATATATTCTTGACATTAAAAAAAAGATTTCAAGCGCAGGAGGAAGGGGGTTGAATGACATCCACATGGACCAGGAGAAGACCTTCGATAGGGTATCACACACTTGAATGAGGGACATGCTGTCTAAAATGGACCTTAACGATGGAATTCGGAGTTGAATCCAACTGCTCTGCACCAACATCAGTAGTGCCACCTCAATCATTGGGTGGGAATCAGAAAGTTTCTTGATTAGATGTGGAGCCAGAAAGGGCTGCCTTCTCTCTGCTGCCTTGTTTATAGAGCGTTTTGTTGAGTCCATCAGGAAGGATGTGAGCCTGACAGGGATGACTATTCTGGGCAGTTGAAGCCTGAAAGCCTCACTGCACATGGGTCGCATAGCTATTTTCTGTTCCAATCTACTGTCAGACTCATGAGTATCTGTGACCAGTTCAAACTGGCCTCAGGAACCAAGATAAATCAAGGAAAGAATGAAGCTATGTTCTTCGGGAACTGGGCTGACCAATCTTTTATCACTTCACTGTCAGCTTGGATTATCTGGGATGCTGCGAATATGATTTGGATGCATGCGCTAAAACCTGGGAGGAACGTATCACCAACATGAGGCCCAAACTAGATAAGTGGGAGCACTACTCCTTCTCCATTATGAGTGGAAAAAAAAACTGGTCATCAGGTGTGAAGCAATCTTGGAGTTGCATAGCACAGATCTGGCCTATTCCCTGAGTATGTGCCCCAACAATCACCCTAGCCATCTTTCACTTCATCTGGAGACCAAATATGTATGGTCTCCACAGGGACACCATGTACCACGTCCTGAATAAGGGTGTGAAGAATGTATCCAACGTTGTCTTTATCCTGTGTGCAGCTGCACAGGCTGTGCATAGACTGGGTGTCCATACACCAAATGTCACTATGTACTGAGGTTCTACTTATCCCCACTATTGTGAATGATAAATCAGGTCTTGTTGCTGTGAAAATAGTTGGACCATCCAGTATCACCTATCCCTTATGGAAAAATTTGCAAAGACAAATGCCTTTGACCACAAGTCCATCAGCCACTGGTCAGCAAGCAATGTCCTTGAGGCCGAGGGGAACAGAGAGGGTGGATCATACTTTGTAGTTCCCTGAGTAGATTTTCAAAGACATTTTGCAGAATTCCTCATCACCAAAACTTTCCAACGAGCACAAAGATGTAGCTTGGCTGGTGGTGAGAAAGGCAGTACACAGCGGATCCTTCACGCACGCCCAGACTTCGCACACGACTCTCAAGATAGGTGTGGTGGTAAAGAGAATATCGCACGTCTCATTGTTGAATGTGCCTTTGCAAATAACGTCTAGAGAGAGATGTAGTGGTTTTAGTTGAGGTTTGTCCTGAGCAGCTCCAAGATGCAGGACTCTGTACTTTACTGGCTATTCCCCAGGACGCATATGGAGACAAATATCAATGGCATATGGATGATCATCGACTCAGTGAAAGACAATGTATGGTCTGCCCAAAACATATTGGTCTTCCCGTGCAAAGAGTTTACCTCAACTGAATGTTGCCGACTGGCACATTCCAAGGTCCAGGACGACATATCAAGACTACTAAAGCTCGGAGCAGCTGCCCAAGGCAGAATGGGAAAAGATGCCATCTACGGTCTTTCTGTAAAACATAACAAGGATCTGTTATGTTTTGAGATACCCTCACTGACTTAATGGAAATGGTTTAAAAGGAAACTTCTGAAGCTCTAATGAAGAATGTCAAGATCTCAGTGTATTTTCTGCAAAGTCTATACTGAACAGTACTATATAAATAAAATATATTTTGAAATAAAAAAATTACAAGCACAGGAGGAGGCCACTTGGAAAGTCTAGCTCATGGCAGCTTTTAGCAAGAGTAATTTAATAAGTCTCACTCTGTAGTCCTGAAATTCTTCCCCTTCAAATGCTTACTTAATTCCTCTGTGAAAGCCGTTTGCTCCACCACCCTTTTGCAGATAGTGCACTCTGGATTATAACCACTTGCTGCAAAAAATGTTTTATCCTGATGATAAGCAGAATCTAGGCTGGATAAGTGCAGCTAAATTGTTCCCATCAGTGGAAGAGTTGAGAACTAGAGACCAACAATTTGGTTAGAAGAAGCAAAGATGACAGGACTGAATCTTTTGATTCATTTCTCCTCACATATAAGCATGCATATGTCTGAACGAACATGCAAATTAGATGGGGAGGTAGACTACTAGACTCCTCAAATCTGCTCCAACATTCAACCATTATGGCTGATTTGATTATATCACATTCCTGTCTTCCTATCTCAGTGAATTTAGCAATCATACCCAGAATTTCATCCAAGTCAATTACAGAAATTGTAAAAAGTTGAATCCACAGCATTGATCGCTGCGGCATACTTCTTGTTGCATCTTGAAAACCAGAAAATAACCAATTTATGACTCACTATCCCCAATTTGTGACTTTCTTGTTTTCTGTTAGTCAATCGTCAATCCATGCCAATATGTTGCCCCTTGTACCAGGAGGTCTTATTTTCTGTAATAAAGTTTGTTGTGGAAACTATCAAATGTGACATCGGACAGCTCACAAATCGATGAGAGCTTAGGAAATCAGGTTACAATTGTTATTTCGTATGTGCATATGGAGAGCCAGCCTTAACACCATGAAGCATAAAGCTCACCCTGGTTGGTTACAAAACACCTTCAAGCTTTATAGCATTAGTTATAACATGAATGTCTGACATTATCAATTGTTGTCCCACAGTCTTTCATAGGCACTGCCTATTTTTTTACAAGCTGATAGTGCAGCTGCAATACTTATGGACTGGCCTCTGTCAGACAATCCCATTTACTTTTATAATATGACGAAAATTTAACCCATAAATAACTGGAGTTGATTCAACTCTTAAAAATGCCTTCTGGTAATCCAAGTCCTAGTTCTGCTTTATTCATATGTTACTTCCTCAAAAAAGTCCAATAAAGTTATTCACAAAAGTATGTTAACTCTACCTCATTATCTTGAAGTTTTGTGAGAGCCCAATTATGCACGACGCTCTAACATCTTCTCTGTAACAAACATTAAGCTTACTGGCCTGTAGTTTCCAGCTTTCTATCTCCCTCCTTGTTCAAATAATTATTTGAATAATAATAGCAAACATTTGCTATTTTCCAATCTAATGAAAGCTTCCCTGAATTTAGGAATTTTTGAAAAATTAAAACCAATACATTGACTATCTCACTGCCCACTTCTTTTAAGACATTAGTATGCAGTCCATCAGGATTAGGGTCTTGTGAGCTTGCAGATCCAACAATTTTTGTTCAGGACCACTTCAATGGTGATTATGAGCAGAGCAGGCCAAGCAGCATCATAGGAGCCGAGATGCTGACGTTTCGGGCCTAGACCCTTC